TAAGTGTAGTAAGAATTTGGTGTAACTAGTTATGTGCCATCTTTTTCAGCTCCTCTGAAATAATTTATTTGTTTTGTTCAGTTGTAACTGGGCAGAGAAGCTGTTGATGGGAATTTATTGTGCTCTTTTAAACAACAGTTACGGGTAAAGGGTCTGCAAGTTAGATCAGTCTTTAGAAGTGTCAGGTTCCAAACCATGCCCCGGTGGCCTTGAGGGTCACTGAGTTGTAATTTTCTTATGCTATCTATATTAACTTCTTTTTTTTTCCCCTGTTAAATTCTGTTGCTGATGTCTTTGGGTCTTCTCACATTTTATAGGAAATTTTTGTTTGAGAGTAGTGTTCTGTAGATTTAAATATATTCTTTTTTTATGTTTGCTTATACCATATTTATTATTCTCATACCCTGTCTTTTTATGTGGAAGTTCACATCAGAGCTAGGACTTTGGCAGTTCTTCTTCTACCTCTTTGTCCAGTTATTTAGATGTAGGCATGAGGATAAAATGTCACTTACATGTTGCAGTCTCTCAGTAAGTGGTCTTTTGGGACATTAGTTGTCAGTTCTACTCCACAGGCAAAATCATGGAAGCAATGATCCTTGCCTGTCTGCAGTCAGAAAAGAGAACAAGGACACAGTACTGATGTCTTTGTATTTAAAATGTATGCTTAAGTAATATTTAAAATGACAGACTAAAGCATTGAAGTCTTTCCAATGTCATAATAATTTAAGAATGTTAAAAAAGCTTTTCAAACAGCTGAATGCACTGGATGCCACCTTCAAGGTACTTGGCTGGTACTGTGTGTGACAGTGGGCTTTTTGATACGGAAACCTGTTCACAAGGAATGAGGTGAACTGATGGAGTGTTTTAACACAAGGCATGAAACAGAAGTCAGAGCCTATAGACTTAATCAGTGCTTGGACTAGATACTTTTGTGTTTGGTTTTTTTGGTATGATTTAATAGATGTGAAGGGCTATAAAATAATCAAAATACTGCATATCTACCAAGAGCAGCAATTGTTCCTGCACAAAAAAAAAAAAGTAAGGAGGAAGAGAAAGAGCTGTGAGACAGCATTGTCATTTTAGAGTGGCAGAAATTGCTTTCTTCTGAATTGACAGGATAATAGTTCTGGGTAGTTTGAGATACAACTCACCCTTCTTGGAGCAGACAATGTAGTACAGAAACAAAATAATAAATGTCAGAAGTAGTGTCTGATGCTTATTGTTTAAATTTGGCTATGCAGCATTGCGCAGAGTGGTTCATATAAAAACACATCACTATATGTACCAAACATGTTTGGTTTTGGGGTTGACTGAATCAGTTTGCTAATGCAATTTTTTAAAAACTGTGTCGTCATAAAACTGTTTTACGTTTAGAGAGGGGCTTATACAATTAGGCTTTGTAAATGTGATGTTTTTTAATTCTACTGCATACTAAGCTTTATTCTACTATCATACTAATTAAATTCCTTTTAATTGGTTATGTCCTTGAATTAAAAAAATCCAGCAATGTGTATGTTTAGAATACCAAATGTATTAAATGGATGTGTTTACACTTAATACATTAAAAATTGAGGAAAAGACTGCTTTAGGGAATTGATAATGAATTCTGAAGTCTTTTTTCAGCTCATAAGTCACCAGAAACAATCTGCTCCAAGTTAGTGGTGACAGAGTCTTTATTATCCTGCTGTCTCGAAGGACTTCCCAGAAGAGACACAGCAAATTGTACATAGTTATAGAGAATGATGTTTCCTTTCATGTATACCTGCCATTTTTTTGTTTCACAAAAAGGATTGTAACTTATGAAGGGGATGTATCGACAGCAGATCAAGAGATACAAGTAAAAGTTAGCTGAGTCATGGTTATGATAACTGCTTTTGTAATTGTGTATGTATCCAGAAATTTTAGAAAAACTCTAGGAAATGAAGTAAACTTTGAGATTGGGATGGAATAGAGAATCCCATCATAATTCCTTGAGAACTTGACTGATCTTGAAAAGCTGTTGGGAAACTGTGAAGAACAGACCCCTCAGGTATCACTAAGAAGTAGGTAAGGATGTTTCATGTTACCTGGCGAACTAACATGAGCTTTTTGAAGCATAATTGTTGATACACAGAACAATGTTATATAAGATTTGGCTTTTTGTGCTAAAGTTGAGGTGTTTTCTCTTTGTGGTGTTCTGAGGAAACTCATTTTTGTCATAATTAGAGGTACTATTTTACTTGTGCCTCTCATCTCCTCTGCTGTGGAGGAGAAAATATTCCTTGATCTTAATTTCTGTTTATGGACTACAACACAGTCTGCATACTGTGTTACGTCACCCAAATTTCTTTTCCAGTACTGGTCACTGCTTCTATTTATAGCCATATCTCGTAAGAGCACCGCATAAATCAATATTTTAATATGATTTCATGCAGAGATCTGCAGTAGCTGTTTTTTCTCATTGCTTATTCTGGTGACATGATAATATTTTCACTTATTTAAAGCATTTTTGTGTTGGGAAGGGTAATTTAAGATGAGGGAGTGTGTTGTACTTTCGTACATACTTAATTTTTAGCTTGCTTTATGATGCTATATGATCAAACTGATTACCAGTTTTTCCAGCAGTTCTTTCTGCCTCTTCTGAACTATTTCACCAATTTCAACCAAATTTGAAGAGTTTAGGTTCTTTCAATGTTTGTGAAAATTTGGTGACAGCGAGTAGAGACAGTGTTTAATCTTTTTGGTGAGAAAAGTGTTTAAGCTTAGCTGAAATGTTACCTTCCAAATAAGCCACAGTCCATGCTGTCATGTGACAGTAGTTTGGTGTATTTAGATAACCAAGAGAATAGGAAACTGAAGGTACTTTGGGGTAAGGGAGAGTAGAAAACTAGTGAAAAACTAGTCTTGCTTTAGTTTTGCCCTTCATGGAATAGCTGGCTCCTGGAGAGGGTTTGCTGATTTGATTAGAAAGGTAACAATTTAAATAATCCTTTCAGTATATTAATACAGCATTTTTATCAGAGGATCTTCTGAAAGTCGATTAATACAAGTATTCACTCTGAGACTGAAACATAGCAATGGAATGTAATTGTGATAGTGTGTTTGTAGTTTAGGCATAGGTTTATATTACCGTGTCAGCAAAAAGTCCAATGCAATTGGAGGTGGAATCCCCAGGGACAGTATAGCTGAGGACAGGCAGACAATATTGTCTCTAGCTGTATGCCACAGTGCAACTCTGCATAGAACATTACCTTTCATTATGGACATACCATTACTAAAACGATAAGCTGGATGAACTTCAAGGAAGAACATTATAAGTAGTTGACAGAGATTGACTTATAAAAAGAAGACCAAATGATTTCACTTTATATCATTTTTATTAAGTAACAAGTTTGGCTAAATAACAACTGTCACCTCACATTTGAAATGTACTTAGTACCACGTCCAGTATTACACAGCATTATACATGGAGTAAAACTGGAAATGATGTGAAAAAAAGTAAGAAAAGATGAAGATATCTGTATTTATCTCTGGAAAAATGTTTCAATGGAAATGATAGAAGTCCCTACCATAAGACATGAATTAATACTAGACAGGAGAGAATGCAAAAAAATCTTGGACTAAAAGAAAGCAGGCCACTTTGGAAGTGACATGGACTAGTTTGTACAGATGGGGTTTTGTATCCTAAGAAAAGAGTTGTTTTACTCAAAAAGGCTTAGAAGTAACTTAAAGTCATAGCATAGGTTTTCTTGATGAAAGGGAGTGTGAAAACATGCAGGTTAGTTTCTATACTTGTTTTCTAACAAGTGAGTGGTGCTGATCTAGCTTCTAAAGAGTTACTTTAATGCTTGAAAAAATATAAAAATAAAAGTAAGGTATGTAATAATTCTATAGACTCCATGATGAATTTAAACTGCTGTCTGGAAAAAAAAAAAGTACTGTTCTACCAACATAACAGATTATAAACCAACAATGTACTACTTTGGAAATAATTCTTTCTGTAGAACTTGTATAACAATTATTTTAATGTTTATTAATTATTATGTTTTTCCCCTCAATGGCTTAAGACTTTTCATTTATAATCCCTTTGGAACAGATAATACTAATGAGTGAACACTTTTTATTAGAATAAGATTAGTCATTTCATCAAACTAATTTATGAGCTTGTAAATGTCTTTTAGTCCAATGTTACTGGTATTTATTTGCTAGAAATATTCTTTTTTAATTTTTCCTTTTAAGTAATGTCAAATGAGCTACATTTAGATGAAGTGTGTTACTTCGACATCTGAACTGCAGGAACTTGGAATACTTTTTTGTTTTTTTTTTCTGTTTTTTCCCATTCTCTTCTATCTTAGAAGTCAGCTGTATTGGTATCTTGGCAGATCCTTACTGTTTCTAAATCTTTGCCATTTCTTGTTCTGCTTTACTTTGCTGCTCAGTATATGGTGTGCTGTTTCAATTTCTGCTGCCATTATCTGTCATCTTGCTGTCTTTGATGTTTCCTTAATAGTGTGTTTGCTGTTTTACCATGTCTTTGGTGGTCAGTTAAAGCTATTTCCTGTCCTCACTTGGGTCTTGGGCTTTAGTTTCTGGTGTGGCTTTTATTCAGTTGTTTGCTTTTTCATAGTAGCCAGATTTCAAAGCTCTGTCAAGGATTGTTCAAACTGCCTTAGTCTTTCCTTGGTTTCTTCCATCTCTTTTATACTTTTTCTTGGGTTTTTTTTCCCCACAGCTGAGTTTTTGCACAGAATGATGATTTTGTTGTTATGATAACTTTAATGGTAGAATAAGTGAAAGCACATGCCACTGTAACAGAGTTGAGTTCTCGGACTCTATGTAGACATTATTAGAGTAAGCATCAGAGTGATAAGTGGCCACGTCTCATTAGAGAAATGTTAATACTGAATTTTTAAGGGTCTGCTGTCCTCTTTTTACCCTTTCCTATTTTGTGCAGTAGTAGATTCACTGTCTGCTTCAAGGAATGGCAGGCCAGCTGTTGCTTAAGAATTACTGGAGGCAGCATGAGGTATGCTAGGCATCTGACTGAAAGAACAGCCATGTCAAGAATTGACTAACAAGTGGGAGGCTGAATGTTTGTAATACTCTTCTAGCATAATTGAAATAAAGACAATAATTAGAATCAGAAATAGGATCGACATCTGGTTAAGAAATGCTATAAAGGGGCATTGATGCCTTCTAAATGAATAAGAGGTTCATGTTTGAGTCATCTGCAAGCAGAGCAGCCAGTAGTCTTTCCTTCTGTTTCCTCTCTTACCATAAGTGACCATATTTTCTGCTTGAGTTGCATCCGTAGTCTTATCAGGGTCTTATTTAAAATGGGTGTTATGGAACAGTCTGTTTTGAATGAAAGAGGGGAGAGGTAAAAATAAATTATTTGTTGATACTTGAATAGCTTTTGTGGGTTTAATAATTTGGAGTTAAACTGCCTTTAACTATGTTACTCACATTGGCAACTGACATTTTCCACACCTAGAGTCCTCAAACTTCTTGGTTATGACTGGTCATTGCTTACAGGAATGTCATAAGGAGGTTAAATTTAAATACCCCATGATTTCAAACAGATGTATATAACTGCATTTGCTATCTATTCTGCTGAAGAATTCTGCTCTTTTCCTGGGTTACTACTCAATGTCTAGGCTCTTCACAATTTGAGATGCAGAAGCAAGGGTCAATGATTTTATGACTAAAGAGGTAGTACAGTGTTATCCAGGGATGTAGCAGTGAATTAGCTGTGTGATCCCAACTGCAGACAAGTAGTCTGTGTATTTTTATAGAGATCAAGGTGCCGAGTTATTAAATTGGGAGATGCAGGAGTGTGTTGTAAATGTAATTTGTTGGTAGGTTTTGTTGATTACTATTTACAAATTAAGGTGTACAGTGTTTTCTTTCTACTTCCTATCTCAAGAAGAGTTGATAAAGGTTTTAGTTTATTCCTGGAAGGAATTTTAGAGATAATTTAGAGAAGAAAACTGTGGAATTAAATGTTTTTCTCATGACAGGATCATGTGACAATTCAGTTTAGGTCACTTGTCCTATTTTGCTTCTGGCCTGTTTCTCAAGGGTGCCCATTACTGTGGTTAGGGAGTGGGCTGACTAGAATGAGGTGATATCTCAAATCTCCTCCTTCCTTCTCTTTAGTCTTTGCCCAGTTTCCCATGTAGCTTTACTTTTTCAGCTGATGTTTGTAAGTGAGCCATCAAGCAATAAATTGTCTAATATTAAAATATGTAACAAGTTATGCCTAGATTATTATGTTATGACCCTGTGCTCATATTTCATCTACTGACTTTCGTGAGGGTTTTTTCAGGCATCTGGGTCAACAGACTTTGTTTAGATTTCAGAATTTTAAATTCTATGTAAAAGAAGACAATGAAGTTACCATCTTATTCAGGTAAAATCTTCAGCTGTCTGCTTTCTTTTTTTTTTACATTTAATCCATACTGAATGTGATTGCTAGACAGAACAGTAGTTACTAGTTAATTATCTTGTATATTAGGTTCCAACAAATCCAAATATTTGCAAAGTCATCTAATTCATACCTTACTGTCAGAAACAAGTTACTGTCAGCAATAAGTTTCTGTGTGGCTGGGATTCATCTCGCTTATATGTAGTCATTCAAAAACTAGGCATCTTAGTCAAGTCAAGCAGCTAGATGACTACTGAAAGTAATGGAAAAAAATAGGCACTTCAATAATGAATTTAATCCTATCTATCTTAAACAGATATTTTAGGATGAGATGAATCAACCACTTGATGTGCCTGTCCCTCTCCATTTGCTACAGAGGGAGCTGGAGCACTGGCTTAGCAAAAATCTAGCTTACAGGAGTTTAAAGTTAGGTGAAATTAACACCTTATATGAAATCAGGTATTCAAGATTTAGGTTTATTTTAGAGTTGTTGTAGAATTAGATTTGCTACTGCTTGTGGTCATCTTCTTGCAGATACTTATTTTTCCATGTCTTTCTTTCAATTTTAAATATTCATGCAATTTCTTGATAAGCTTGGTTATTTGGACAAAGGCACTGAATTAAGTTCATTCTGAAAGGCATATCGCTCAATAAGCAAAATCCTTTTCCATTGTTTAAGTGTTCCAATTTCTGTTCCATAGATAAAAGGAAAAAACCTTTTTATTTTCTTGAGCTGTTTGTACAGTTACAGACTTCAGACAATTCCTCAAAGCATTTTATAAGAAATTGCAGTTATAATTCACTGGAAAACATCTCTGGTTGGAAGGAATCAATTCTTAGAAGTATCTGTCAGATGCATGTTATGAGTACCTTTTAGAATCTGAGTGTTTCAGTTTTTATGTACATGGATAGCACTTTGCCACAACTTACAGATATAATTTATCTAGAGCATTTCTGTTAAAACTGACAGCTTGACAAACTGCTAGATATTTTTGTATGGTTAAGAACACCGGATGTGTAGACCATGCAGTGATGCTTGTCTTCAGTAATATAAATCAAAAATCACATCGAAGGGGAATTTTATTTTCTAAGTTTCCGAATCTGGCTTATACTTCCTCTTGTTTTAGACTTTGTTCCATGATGTGTCTGAAGGAATAATAGGTGTAAATTAGAACTTTAATGTGTTTTTCTGTTTTAAGCCTCCCAGAGGCTCTGTACGTAATACTGGAACACTAAACTACATATTAATGATACTTTGATTTGTCCTTATAATTTACTCAGAGGTGCATATGATAATCTTGAAAATTCAGAAGTATAAAACCAGTTGAAACAGCTATGCACATTTTGAGCTTAATTAGATAATTGTTGTATTTTCATTACAGTGTGAAAGGTGATACTTCATGACATTCTTCAGTAATAATAAGACAACTGAAGGAAGAAGCAGCTTGCTATAAACATCACCTTTTCTGATAAAGCCTGCAAGCCTTTTTAAATTGTCCTTGAAACAAGTTTTTTAAAAAAGTAAAGGCCTAGAAACATGTAGTAGTTTTACCCACTGACTCACAGAAAGTTTTTTTCCAGATCAACAGATGCAGTGTATAGACAAGAAGGCCAAATTCAAATTGAATTTTATCTTTGTGGGATATTTTCCCAATATATCTGCACACAATATTTGTGACTGTATCCTGATTAGGGGAAAAATATTGCAAACAGTTGCTTAACTATTTTTAAAAAAAGTTTATAGAAAACCTTCAGTTGGGAATAAATGTACATAAAAGCCCATAAAACTCCAATACTTGCGGTCTGCTTGTAAAGGGTACTTAAATATTGATAACGTTGGCCCTTGCGTTATGTTGAGAGTTCTCCCAATTTTTGTTGCCAGCATGAGTCAATAGTATTGTAAATTTTTATACTCTAAGTGCTCCCCATTTGCTGTATTTCTGAAATGAAATATTCACAGAATACCGTTCTGGCTGGAAAATTATAGAGGCCCAAAATATATCTTTGAGTAGTACTGTGTATCTATGTATGCACATATATATATATATTTGGACACACATAGACATGCACACACATATATAAAAACCAGTGAGATTGTTCATACTTGTAGAGAAGTTAGTTCAGTTTAGATAGCATGAGGCAGATAGATACTGTTGTGCTTTTTTTTAGTTTAATTCTTTGTTCCACATTGTCAAATTAAGCATAGATTGGTTTATCCAGCTAGCAACACTGTTTCTGGCATAACTATATTCGAACAAAGTTGTCATGTTGATGTCTTCAACGCTTTCAAGTACATATGACCCTATACATTACGAGAATTCTTGGCAGCTTTTGTGTTCTACCTGCTGCCATGGATACTTAAGCAGAAGACTTTGAAATTGCCCAGTGGTGTCCCAGCAAGTGCGCAATTGCCATATCTGGGAATTTTTGGAGCACGTTATTTTCCGTGTATTCAAACATGAGAACGTTGAGATATGGATGTCTCTTGGGCAGCATACTCGGTGAACATCAGTGAAATGTATCCTTCCATTTTAAAGATCCTTTTTAAAAAGGCATTTATGCAATGAGGTGCTTCTTTGCTACTGCTCCATGAGATTCAGAAAGAACTTGTTTTCACTAGCGCTAAAGGTTCATATGTGTAAAGCAGTGAAAATATAAAGTTGCCACAAAAAAAAGGTCTGTCGGATAAATACATGAATCTTTTCTAACTGCCAGAGATGTACACTCTTGCAGGAAAAGTACAGAGTTCAAAGATGGGAGAACACATAGTAGTTGAATGTATCTTGCTGGTCTTCTGTATATGAACACGGAAGTCCTCACAATAAAATTCTGCTTTTTATATAGGTTTTATGCTCAGAAGGAGGAAATGAGAAGAGATATTCTGAAGCTTTTTATACATTTTCTTGGTTTAGTTATATTTTGATTGACTAAATTTTTCTTACTTAGCAACGGTAAAATAAAAGTTTCAGTTGAGCATTATGAACTAAGAGTAAAACTGAAAGTTGTGTTTCAGTAGAAGCTGCTTTTGTATTTATAAAGCTGGCCTCTTGGCAGTTGTATTTAGTATCTCCCTTCCCTAGAAAAAGCCTCCCAAATTTCTGCCAGTACCAGTTGTTTTTAGGGTTGTGATATAAACTGTGTCAATGAAATGATTCAAGGAAAAAAACCCCAATCGTGGAAAAAAAACCCCAAAACAGCCATACCACTCCTGGGCCAACATAAGCATTTGCATAAACATATGATGATGAACTAGGTTAAAGAACTGACCTGGCTGAAAAATAATTCAGGTTATTTTTCAGGTGCATCAGGTCTTTGGTCTGATGCATAATGCAGCCATAGAGGTACTTGTGCTGGCACAGCAGAGCAGACAGTGGTGGTAAATAGTGGCTGGGATCAGCAGGAGCAAAACAACATCTTGGCTTACAGTATTTTTCAAATATACTGCCTAAACAACTTACCACATGTGAGGCTGTTTTGGCTTTCACAGATTCATGTGCTCTAAGTTTTGCTGAGGGAAAAAGCAGGTATGAGTGGCTCTTTGCACTTAGGGATTAGGAAGAGGACCTTGTGCTCTGAACATGCTTCTGCCTTGGATATTT